CTCTGGTGCATAGTGACCAACAGGAATGGCAGGGCTGTTTTTTGCTCAACCTGAGTTGAAGAAACCCATTCTGGACTGAGACCTGATAGCATCAAAATGGGATTGACTTTCAGGAGGGACCATTTTCTTACCAATTCCAGAGCTTGCCCCTTTGTGTTCTCTCTTAACTTTCAGATGACATCATTTGCATCAACTTCTCTTACTGCACTAAATCATCCACTTAGAGTAATTGTCAGGAATAGTTCATCAGCTGTAAGGCACATCCTGAGAAGCTGGAAATAATGTGAACCTCTCTGTTGTTAATTTTTTTGGCCCACACCAAATCTCATTATTGAATCAATTGAGTTTGTTGAGAGTTTAACATTAACTTTAATGCTAATTCTTTGTCCTGTTAATAGTCAAGCCAATACAGGCACCTGCTATCTCTGTTAAGCTAATGAGGCAGGAAAAAAGATGGCAAGGATAGCAGGTGAGGCGAGTTCTTCATCCCCTGAGTCTCTGGGTTGCCCAGGCAACTTTCCTGCAACTGTAAATGGCAGCATTTTGCTTTTCAATGTTTCTTTCCTCTGTACTGTGTTAGCAGACTGCCATTCCCAAAGGAATGGTCCCTCTACTTTGTCTTTCAAAGGGTGTGCGGGATGAACTCAAGCAAACAGTCTTATGGCAATTCCAGGCATAGCTACTCCGTCAATTTCTATTGTTGTTGATTCAATCTCTTTTTGAAAAAGTTGTGCAGAGTTGGAAACACAACTATGTGTGTTGCACAAAGCAACAAATGGTTATAGTGCCTGGGAAAAGGGAAGGCACAGGTTACAAGACACATTTAAAGAACTTGTGGGGGCGGGGAAGGAGGAGGCGGTTCTGAAACTCCTCTAGCTGAGAAATTCTAAGCTAATGAGTCCATAAAGAAGTAAAAAAAGGGTTTGTAAAAATTGTAGCACTATGAATTCAAACCAACATGATTATGCCTAAGTTTGCCTTATCACGTGAATTGTTACTCTCAAGTCAAAGTACAGGGAAATAAACAGATTTTTTTAAGTTGATAGCTTAGAATACAGGACATCTGTGGAAGCAGAGTGAGACACTGCACTTTACTTACAGGAATCCAGGAGAAAAATAACATTCATCCGCCAATGTGGGCTTGTTGCTGGTATGTTTTTTAAACAGCCCAACTGTTTTAAGGAACAGTTTTAGGGAACATAATGAATTAAGTTTAGCGGTCAAATTATTTCTCTCCTAATCTCTGTGTGTGTGTGTGTAATTATTCATTCTCTGAGCCTCAGTGTACTCCTCTGAAAAGTGGGGGTGATTTAAAGAGAAAAAGCTGTGAAGTCCTGAGCCTAGGGCCTGGCACTTCCTAGCTACTACATTCATTGGTATAATTTTAGGAAACTTGCCTGCAAAGACCATGTCCTTTCTGCTTCTTCGGTTCACCAGCTGAAGCACAACACACACCATTCCTGCTCCCTTTGTTTCCTTCCAGGTGGTACTTCCTAGATCTTTGCCTCCCTTGCTTTTTGTTGCTGGCCAGGCACAAAGCCTCCCAGCTCTGGATGGTGGAGACTTGGTTATTTTCCAGGCTCTTTTGAGGATTCCCCAGGAGGACTATGTCAGAGGTGCTAATGAGTCTCTGTTTAACCGTGACTGTGCACTCCCCTGGCAATTGGGACAGAGAGAAACACCTTGCACAACAATTAGCTTTTCGCAGCCATTAGCAATTTGCAGTCATTAGCACTATAGAAACACTGCAAATAACACTCAGGAAGCAAATTCCGCTGTAAGGTGCCACAGGGCTTCTATGCTGGATCAGCCCTCAGCAAGGCAGGGGTCTGAGACTCTAAGGTCCCCTGTGCCCACTTACTCCAGCAAATGGGTTTTGTGATTTGAAGTGCCTCTGTTCCTTCCCATCATATCTTTGAAAATGGCTCTATCAAGCCCATTGTTTGTTTCAGTGATACACGAATCTTTCACAAGAAAAGTCCAGAAGATGTAGTGCATAATAAAGAATTCTGAATTCCTTCAAGACCAAGAAGCCTAAAGGAGTCTGGAAGGAGTGGTGTGAATAACTGAAATTTGAGAGGAGTGAAACCCCAATGCAATGCAATAATTTAGCTCCAAAGCTCTTCATGGCAGCATTGCTAAATACCAGCACCATCTATATCTCCAACGGTAGGGATCGGTTTAATAATTGTGCTATACCCATTGAATTGAACATAATACAGTCTTTAGAAATAATATTCTGGAATTTACAGGCAGATTATATAAAAAAGATTATAAAACCTTATTAATATTTCCTTTTTATTGTAAAATATGATATGCACCTTCTAAAATATTAGTGATGATTGTCTCTGGGTGCTGGAAATGGGAATAGATGATTGTGAATTTTTAAATTTTGCTGTTCTGTTATTTTTCGAAAATAAGTATAGATGTATGCGTAATCCTTTTAAGTAGAGAGAGGAATAAAGACAGCAGAGTGAGAAAGTAAGCCACGTATGGTGTGGTGAGTTTAACATACCTAAAAAAAACTAAGTAAATATTTTATTAAAGTACAACATATATGGGGAAACAAGACAGCAATAATAAGGATGGTTTAATGACTTTTCATGAAGTGCATAAATCCAGATACAGAATGAATCTTAAACACCATGATGGTTATGCTTGTGTGCTTGCAGCTCCACAAACAAGCATCTGCATGGCAAACAATCACAGTAGGAGGTCAGCTGCGGGTGGGAGAGTCAGTGATGCAAGTTCATCAATTGAAAGCCCATGATGGTAATTGTGTTAGTCTGTTTCACACTGCTACAAAGAAATACCCCAGAATGAGTAATTTAGAAAGGAAAGAGGTTTAAGTGACTTACAGTCCCACATGGCTGAAGAGGTCTCAGGAAACTTATAATCATGAGGGAGCAGCAGGCATGTCTTACATGGTGGCAGGAGAGAGAAGAGAGAGCGTGTGAAGGAGAAACTCTCAAATACTTATTAAACCATCAGCTCTCGTGAGAACTCACTCACTATCGCAAGAACAGCATAGGGAAAACTGCCCCCAGGATCCAATCACCTCCCACCAGGACCCTCCCTCGACATGTGGGTACTACTGGGATTAATATTCGAGATGGAATTTGGGTGGGGACACAGAGCCAAACCAGAATTTTGTAATTCTGGAAGGAAAGTTGGTAAACCTCCGATTTACTGGTGCAGAAACTGAGCCACTGGGAGTAAGAGTAACTTGAGTCCCATAGCTACTAAATGGAGGAGCTGAGATTTATTCCCATTCAGGCTCTGGAATCAATGCATTTCCAAGAAGAAAAAATACAGCTGGGGCAACTAGCGGAAGACCAGGGCATCTCTAAAAGCTTGATGACCAGAGAGTAGGAGACAGCAAAGAGCTGTGTCAGGGAGGGCAGGAAGGCTTGTCTGTTAGGAAGGAAGGGCAGAAAATCAGTTCTTGGCAATTTCTGCAACAATCAGACCAGTGGAGAAACTAAGAATGCTCAGTCTGATGCCTTTGTGCACTTATATTTCATGTGGACCCGAAAGGTGGCCTTGAGGCTGATGAACCAGACATGCAGAGCATAAGAGCTCTGACTTCCTTCAGAAGTCATAGTTAGCTCAGACGAACAGGATCTAATTTATTTTTTATTTTATTCTTTTTTGGGGGGTGGGGAGACAGAGTCTCGCTCTGTCACCCAAGCTGGAGTGAAATGGCACAATCTCAGCTCACTGCAACCCCTGCCTCCCAGGCTCAAGTGATTCTTATGCCTCAGCCTTCCAAGTACCTAGGACTACGGGTGTGTGCCACCATACCTGGCTAATTTTTGAGTCTTAGAAGAGACGGGGATCTGCCATGTTGGCCAGGTTGGCCTTGAACTCCTGACCTCAAGTTGTTCACCTTGGCTTCCCAAAGTGCTGGGATTACAGGCATGAGCCACCATGCCCAGCCAGAAAGGGATTTAATTTATATTTTCTTTTTATTTCCTAATTCATAGGGGAGCATGGCACTACTCATAATCCTCCTATGTAGAAAAGTGGCCCCCCAAATCTCCATTGAATGATCAAACTTCTTTTCCCTTGAAACAGGTGTTCTGGGGGAACCATGCAGACAGCACACTCTGGGCAAGGGGTGCCTCTAGAGAACATAGGGTACATGTTAAGAACCTTGGTCGATGAGAGGAGAAAGCCACCTTCCAAAATGAACTCAGCTGGGGAGGATCAAGCTTGGGAAGTTTGTATGGAAACCATTTCATCAAAGATATATATCTAGGAACTTTGCTATCTTAATTAACTCAGTGGTAGCACCATACTATGCTAAGAGGACTGGATGTGAGACTTGTAAATACCCCTCTTTAGGCCTTTAACCCTATTGGGTTACTGTAAGCTTTTCAAGTATTGAGGCCACGTGGTTGGTCATCTCTACATGCCCAATGCATAATAATGTGCCTGGTAGATAAGAGACGTTAAACAAATGCTTAACGAATGCATACTTTGTGTCCTAGATATTCTAGGCCAATATCACTTTAAATAGTCCACTGATCATGCACACTGGTTTGCATTCAGAAACACTGATCATCAGAGAATTAGGTCTGAAAGTGGCTGATGGAATTTCTGGGAATTTTCAAGAGACATTTCTCAGCAGTAGCCACTATACCAGCCAGTTTTCATAGTCCTTCTCAATCATTCATTCATTTTAGTAAAGGTAGAATTAGACAGACATGAGGAATACTCGAAAAGTGAAGGAAGCAAGAATTATATAGAACCTGAAATTGGTTCCTGGGCTTCATATTTCAGCAACTTCAGACGTTTTTTTTAAGTCACTTAAGATGTTTTTAAACAGTCATTTACTGAAGTCTTACTAAGTAACAGGCTTATACTCAGTGCTAAATACAAAAATCAGTAATATAGAACACACAGACTTGAAAATAGATAAATTACAACCCAAGTTGGATTGTGTTTGTACTATGTAAGATGTCTTCAGTCGCAAGTAAGAGAAAAGAAATAGCAGCTAAAACAATAGAAATTTTTAATAATCTCACAAATCATGAGAGACTGAAAGCAGATGGTTCCAGATTGGTCCAGCAGTTGAATGATACTCTATCTTTTCACTATTCTATCCTTTGTCCTTGGTTTATTGCCTCATGGTCACAAAATGATTGCTGTAGCTCCAAGTAACATGTTTGCACACAATTGCGTTTAAGTCAGGCAGGAAGAAACTTACTGCTTCTCTTCATAGCAGGAAACAAAGATCTTCTGAGATGAGCTGACCAATAGACTGTTTCTTTGGTCTGATTGGTCAGGACTGGGTCACTTGCGCATTCCCAAATAAATCATGAGCAAAGGGAAATGGGATTGCTATGGTTGGTATAAGTCAATGATGCTTCATTCTCTCAGGCTGGAGGAAGGGCTGCATCTTCCTTGAGTGCGTTGCTACCACCTAAAAAACTGGGTCCTATAACCTAAAGAAGGTGAAAAGAAGTGCAGAGGAGAAGTTAAGCAACTTGTTTGCCACAGGATTAAGCACAGAGTTGAGTGAATCGATGCACCTTATTTTTTCTAATTTGATGCCACATCTTCAGCTCCGCCTTCCTTCCCTAGCATAAGGCCAACAGCCCAAGGCTACTAGAAAACCTGGCCTTTCCCTGACACTGCGTTGGCCTTGATCAGTTCAGAGAGTAAAACAAGCTGTCAGACTCAGCTCCTGCCCTATCCTTGGTCTCTAATAACCTCAAGCTTTCATAATTCCAACCAAGTTTAAAATTCTAGCTTGTTGATTTGAGTGGGAGTTTGGAATGCTGGAGGGAGAGGGTGAAAGTCAGGTCAACAAATGAGAAATGATTTTTCTTCCTCAAACACAAGTCTCACATCAGAACTCTGAACTCAGATGGCCTCTGCTGAATGAGAGGGATGGGAACACATGTAGGGAAGGCCAGGAGAGCCCAGCCATGGGTGTAGCTGAACGTTGTTTCAGATTAAAAACAAGATTTCTCTCCATGAAGACCACTGGGTACTACTTTCAAGATTTACGTTAAGAGAGAAGTAAGGGCGTCCTCGATCTGGGGAAGAAGTTAAGGAGGTGGTTGGAGGAGAACTCTGAAAGATGTGGCTTTATTCAACACATCTGTAGACACTGGTTTCACAAGGCCACAATCAATATAATAGATGATAGGATTTATAGCATTCAATATGATTTAATGTAATATAGTAGTATAGCAGTGCAATATAATGATACCAGTAACTAAAATTCATTGATCACTTGCTGTGTGATTAACACAATGAAAAGTATTGTCCTTACAGGATTACTTATAATCATATTCACAGGCAAGTTCCATCATAATCCAGAGGCTAAGCAATTTGTGCAAAGCCGCTCTGTTCAACAGTGGCCTCAGGACGCAGGACCGCAGGGCTGTTTGCCTCTAGAACCCTCCTCTCCACCACTTTGCTATTTTGCCTCCATTTGTCTCTTACCTACCAGGGTGTTAATGCATATAGTGATGAAAAGGCCAAGTGGTGACTACAGACGAAGACACTGAGCGAGATTTAGTGAAAAATAGCTCATCAGAATAAATATTTTGCTAGCTAAAAAAAAAAAATGAAAGAAATAACACCAAAAAGTTATTTAAATGCTCAGGGCACAAAATAGTTAAAAGTTTCTTGTTTTAAAGAGCTCAAGAAAGTAAAGAACATAAGAGGAAATACAGCACTGATAGGAATTATATAAACAGATGAACTTCTTTCTCCATAATAGAATTCATGAACATTCATGCATGCATTATTAAGATTTGGCCATTCCCTTGTGGGTTTTTTCTTTTTTTTTTTTTGGCATTCATTCTCCAGCCTATATAGTTAACTCTTTTTCTAACTCACTCGCTCACTTTATTCTTTCATTCATTCATTGATTTATCTAGTCATCTGTCAGATGTTTATTCAGTCTTTTCCTCGCACTGGGGACCAAGAAGGATAATGGAGGCTTAAGAATAAAGAAATACGGTCTCCTGCCTTAAATGTGATGGAATTTAGTATGCTCAAAAGGCAATTTTCCCCTTCAGATCCCCTTCAGACTCACTCCATTGCCTGTGAATGGTCCTGTGCAGTAGAGAGACCTCCTTCAGCCCTCTGGCATGTGGCATTACCCTACTGCAGGGAGTTGCCTATCTCTGATTTAGGACTAGAAGTGGAGGTCCAGAAGATGAGAAACTGTGAAGAACAGAGGACACTAGATATGTTACTGTCTGTCTGATTGAAGCCAATTCTAGCTCAGGAATCCCCTGGGAGGTTCTAAGACTTCAATATCTTATGGGATTTTGGAAACATCTAAGTTTTCTGCAACTGATAAAACCATCTTGGTCCCTAAAGATTTGCCTTCTACCTACTGGGAGGCACTAAACTAAGGACAGGGTAGATGCCTGGGGCAATGTTTATTTCCAACCGCACTCAAGAGCTAATCTCTGCTACTGGATGCCTGAAACCACATGCCGTATTCCAGCCTTTGGCTTGACTGAAGGATCCTAATGAACCTTTCCAGCATATATTTCTGTATACTGGAGAACCAGTGATGAGCACTATTATTGAAACATCTCTAAAACTGCCCATACTTCTTTTCTGTATGACGTCTCTCTCTCTCTCTCTCTCTCTCTTTTTTTTTTTTTGAGACGGAGTTTCACTCTTGTTACCCAGGCTGGAGTGCAATGGCGCGGTCTCGGCTCACCGCAACCTCCGCCTCCTGGGTTCAGGCAATTCTCCTGCCTCAGCCTCCTGAGTAGCTGGGATTACAGGCACGCGCCACCATGCCCAGCTAATTTTTTGTATTGATAGAGACGGGGTTTCACCACGTTGACCAGGATGGTCTAGATCTCTTGACCTCGTGATCCACCCGCCTCGGCCTCCCAAAGTGCTGGGATTACAGGCGTGAGTCACCGCGCCCGGCCCCTGACATCTCTTTTTGTTTGGTTGTTTTCTTTTTAATTTTATTTTGCTAAAATTAATAGTGAGGTAGGTTTACATTCTCACAAAATATAATACAGGCAATGAAGAGATAGTCTAGGAGCCTTTCTTAAGGCCCCTATTGCACGCAGCCCCGAGGTACTGGGACCCCTTAGAACATCTCATTTTTAGGAGGTGTTCCTAATCGCCAACAATGGCCTTTGTCAAAATTGCTCTCTATAGTGACAGCTAATGTCCTAAGCAGATGTCTATGTCTGAGGCAACTGGTCCCTGTAAGGGGTATCCAATTATCATGAGGCTCCAGGAAGATGCATATGGATGTGATGAGAAGGATGATGGAATGGGACCCAGAAGACACCCCACAGCCACTATCACCAAGCCTGGACATTTGTTCCTGCCCATTTCTATGCCCATATTTCCTCCTCTGCAAAATGAACAGTTCAGACTAGAAGAGGCTTCAGGCCCTATTGAGCTTGGACAAGTTATGACCTTCTGAGTACTGCAAGTGTCATCTGCTTTGGCAGTTTGCACTAAGAATTGGACTTCAGAGATTTGGCACATTCTGATGTTTCTTCAAGTGGTAAGTGTGCTCAGTTTTTGTGGCATGTGTCTACAAAGCACAAAAGCCTTGGGTTCTCTGGACTTCTGAAGTGCAAGAGTTAGACTGCAATCCCAGCCCAGTCTCAGGGAGAGACACAGAAGCAAATCTGTGAAAGGGTACTTCAGTCTCTATGGGAGCCAGTCTGTGCGCTTGGCAGAGAAGACAGCTTGGGGAAGGGAGGCACATCCGAGAGCTCTAAAGTCTGGGCAGAATGCCCCATGGACCCACAATCCCACATACCTGCAAATGGAGAGAAAAGAACAGGTAGTCCCAGTGTGAATATTTGGTATCCAGAGTCTTATTGACCTTAAAAATTTGGAAGTATGTGGGACCTGGAAACGCTAATACCCAGAGGCCGTGCAGTATCGTGGAAAGAGAACTGGCTTTGGAATCAGAAATTCTGGTTTGACTCTCACCTCTGCCCCTAAGAGCTACGTGACTTGGAGCCGGTCTCCTAACCCTGCTGAGTGTGGATTTTCTTGTCTGTCCAACGAGGAGCATTAGGTCTTTCCTGATGATCTCATAGGGCTGAGCTTTCTTGCATAGGGCTGTTACTTTTCCTGCACACAGTGTACAAACCCCCGGTGATGCCTTAGTCACAGTCTAACAATATTAAGGAAGGACACTGATAAAATGATAAAGATAATTTTTGTGGAGAATATAACATTGATCATTATTGCTACCCACTGTTACATTCTTAATATATACCAGGCACTCTGCTAAGGACTCCAGAAACATTAATTCATCACCCAAGGTCACATGGCTGGTAAATCACACGGCAGGACTTAACTCTGAAAGCTCTGACTCCAGAGCCAAGGTCTTCACTCAGTGCTTGCCTCATTCCTCCTGACCCAACAACCAGGTTTCCTCCAGACCTGGCTCACAGAGAGGGAGAAAGATGACTGGCTTGTCTATTCACATATTAACAAACAAACGAACAAATAAATCATTAAGTGGATGTAACATGCCGTTGGGTTTTGGCTGTGTCTTTTGATTGGGAATTCGGTCAATTTAAATTTAGGGTTACTGCCATTTGATGTTGACTGGCTGTTTTATCCATTTGTTGGTGTAAATTCTTCTTTATGTTGGTGCTCTTTACTTTTTGGTGTATTTTTAGAAAGGCTAATACTGGTTATTTCTTTCTGTGTGTAATGTGATCCAGACCTGTTTCACATGCAAGGATACACAAAGACTCAAAACAAAGGGATGGAGAAAGATTTACCAACCAAATGGAGAGCAAAAATAAATAATAAATAAATAAAAAGCAGGAGCTGCAATTCTTGTATCGGATAAAATAGATTTTAAAGCAACAAAGATATAGTGGTAAAAGGATCAATGCAACAACAAGAGCTAACGATCCTAACACCCAGATAGGAGACTTAGATTCAATGAGACAGAAAATTAATAAGGATATCAAGGACTCGAACTCAGATCCAGAACAAGTAAACTTAATAAATATTTATAGAGCTCTCCACTTCAAATACACAAAATATACATTCTTGTCAATACCACATCACACCTACCCATTAATTTAAATGAAACATTGATTGGCCATTATTAATACCCAATTTTTTTCAAAATAAAGCAATATTTCCATTTACTCTCCCTCTTTCTCTTCCTCTTTCTTCCTCTCCTTATTTTTTTTTTCTTTCCTTCTCTCAAAAAAAAAAGAAATCAACTTGTAAACCTCTAGATCCAGGTCGGCAATGTCTCTTTCATTGCTTGATTTCCTTTCTTCGCTTCCCTCCCTCCCTCCCTCCCCGCTTCCTCCCTTCCTTCCTTCCTTCATCCCTTCCTTCCTCCCTACCGTCCTTATTCCTTTCCTTTCTGCCTTCCTCCCCCCCCAAAAAAAGAAAAAATGAATAAAAATAAAAAATAAATAAATAAATAAATCATTAAGTGATCAGTCACATT